AGATACCTTGATCGTCTCTTCATGCCAGAGTGTTGCAGAGAGGAAGTTCTCTGAGAGTTTCACCATTCACGCCTTGCGATGCATTCGGGAGGCACAAAGATATAGCACAACCTTAGTCACCATATTTGGTAGAGGGGAATGAAGAAGGATGTGGTCGTGTTTATGTCAAAGTGCCTTACTTGTCAACAAGTGAAGGCCGAACATAAGAGACCAACAGGTTTGTTGCAACCCTTGCCTATAGCCGAGTGGAAGTGGGAGCATGTCACGATGGATTTTGTTATGGGCCTTCCGAGTACTCAACGGGGTAGTGATGCCATTTGGGTAGTAGTTGACCGGTTGACTAAGTCAACGCACTTTATACCTATGCGTGTAAGTAACTCGGTAGATTATCTTGTCAATCTTTACATTAGGGACATAGTGAGGTTACACGGGGTCCCAGTGACGATTGTTTCGAATAAAGATCCGCCTTTCACGGCTCAGTTGTGGCAGAGCCTACAAAGTGCCTTAGGCACGAGATTGACCTTTAGCACTGCGTATCATTCTCAGATTGATGGGCAGTCCGAGCGTACTATTCAGATCCTCGAGGATATACTTCGAGGTTGTGTCCTTAACTTTAAGGGGTCATAGGAGAGGCACTTGCCCTCAGTGAAGTTCGCCTATAATAACAGTTTCCAGTCAAGTATCGGTATGGCATTGTTTGAGGCCTTGTATGGTCGTTTGTGTAGATCTCCTGTGTGTTAAGCCGAGGTGGGTAATGCACCTATGTTGGGTCCAGAGTTGGTCTAGGAAATGACGAAGAAAGTTACACTTATCCGTAAGAGGTTGGTTATGGTTTAGAGTCGCCAGAAAAGTTATGCCAACCGTAGGAAAAGACCCTTGTCTTTTGAGGTGAGAAACCACGTCTTCTTGAAGATATCACCTAGGAGGGGTTTGATGAGATTTGGAAAGGGAAGAGTGGGAAGCTATCTCCTCGATTCATTGGGCCTTTAGAGATCTTTGAGCAAATTGAAGAGGTAGCTTATCACTTGGCCTTGTCGCCACAGCTTTCTGGGGTTCATGATGTGTTTCATATTAGCATGCTTTGAAAGTATGAGCCGGATCCATCACACGTGTTGGATTGGACCGACTTAGAGGTAGATGAGGATGCTTTTTATGAGGAAAGACCGATGACAGTCTTGGATACTCAGGACCAAGTCTTGTGAGGCAAGAGAATTCCCTTGGTTAAGGTATTGTGGAAATATCACGGGATTGAGGAAGCAACTTGGGAACACGAGTTAGAAGTCCATGAGATATATCCAGACTTATCTGTTGATGTTTGAGCATGTAATGAAATTTTGTTATAATAATGAAATATAAAAACATTGTATATGTTTGAGAATATAGAGACATTGTATATGTTGTATATGTTTTGGAAACCTGGATTTATGATAAACATTGTACGTGTTTTGGAACTTGTGTACCGAGTTGATGAGAATGGATGACCAAAGAATGGGTTATGGTGATGGAATTGAATGATTACCATTACTGTAATTGGTTTTAACTTAGTTTTCAAACTTGATTTGAAATTTCGGGGATGAAATTCCTTATGGGGGGAGGTTATAGCGTTTATGGTTGAGACCCGACCTATTGTGTACTCTAAACTTGGGTTTCATAGCTTCGTATGGTTGTTCATGTCTTTTCCCCCTTATTCTTCCTTAAATTGGGTGATTGGATTGTAGTGGTTGTGTTTGGAACAGGTTAGTTGCTTAGTTTTCAAATCTTTGTTGCCCAAAATTTTGCTTCTCCGCTCGAGCGACACTTCTTGTGCTCGAGCGGACTGTGTAAACGCTTAATACTTTTGCAGGTTTGTAAAATTATTGGGAGGGTGTATTCTACGCTCAAGTGTTGGTCTATTGTCTGCAAAAGAGCTAGATGTGTGTATTCTGCGCTCGAGCGTCACTTCTTGAGCTCGAGCGGTAATACCCTTTTGGTTTGTGTCTTGGCGAGCGTCACTTCTTGCGCTCGAGCAGAACAACTTATTGTGTCTGATGGTCGAGCGTCACTTCTGGCGCTCGAGCGAACTGTGTGTATATCAGTTCACAGCAACACCTTTTTACATCACTTTTTCAAATCCATTCCTCTCAAGACCCCAGATCAAAGAGCCTATCTCTCTACATTTTCACCTAGATCTAGTGGTTTCTCTACCCTACTCCCTTTATTAAAAAGCTAGAGCATCTCAAGGGCTACGTTCTCATCCGAATAGAGTTGGATTTCGGCTTGTTTGAAGTGTCTCCATTCCCCCTCTCGACTTCTAAACTTCGAGATAGAGACTTTCTACACTCTCTATGAATTTTAGCTTAGTTATTTGTTGATATGTAAGAAATATTGGGATTTGAGGTGATTTTAAACAAACTTAGGGTTTTGGTTTAAAAACAAAAGAGAGGTTTTTGAATGGATGTATTGGAAGTGGTTATGGGAGTAAACATGAACTCGTGCTATGTTAAAATGATTGATTTTGGTACTTGGAGTGGATGTTGGAAAAGGGAGAAGTTTTCCCTAAAATACCTCATATAATTATTTTGCATAAATAAATGAAATTGGCATTGGAAATATGAAATTAGATGGGCGTTTATATAAATGGTGGCGTTGGTTATGTATTATCTCTCACATATGACAACTTGGATACTTTATCTATCTTTGAGATTGTATATCTGTTTAGAAATATATGTTTTGGGCTATCGGTGGAGGATAGCTATAATTGTTGTAGAAATTGCATGAGGATTAGGTGAATTGAAACTAATCTCTTATTGGTTGTCATTGAATATGACTGTGTTTTAAATACATTGTATATGTATGGTGTTTGGATGGAGAAATGTGATGTACTCCATATTTGGGAGAAAAAAGGGAATGGACTCTATTAAACTAAGTTGGCTTGTGTGTCCAGGGTGAAAGTCCCGAAAATTGCGCGTATACATGGGTGCCGATTCCCGCAGACGAAATTTCCGTAAAATGGCAAGTAAATGTATTTGTATGATAATTATATTGGTTGGAGACCTATGGGGTGTATCCTCTGTTTGGTTGATTAAATGAATTGTGTATAACTAATGAACTGAGATAAAATTGATTGAGATGTAAGTTTGGCATAACATGGTTTTGGAAAAGAGTTGTAAAAGATTTTGTCATTGGACATTGAACATGTGCATCGTACTTATATCTTTGTTAAGATTCATATATTATGTTAGATTGTCTCTACTGGGTTTTGGCTCACTCTACTTGGGAAAATCATTTTCAAGTGCTGGTGACATGCCTCCTCCAAAGACTTAACTTAGGAGGACCTAGGAGCTGAAGGCTCTATTTTGTAATTTGTATTTAATATTTGTACAAGCCTAAGGCTTTATATGTATGGAGCTTAAGACTCTCTCTTTTTGTTGTAACTAAGCATAGTCTTGGAAAGCTGTAAACACGTAGGACATTTATTGGTTGATCATGAAGTTGGTATCACATGTTGTACATTCAGGATAGAGCTTATAAATGTATATCGCATATATATTACCTTTTGTAATTTAATTCTGATGAATAAAAGTCTATTGTTTTGTTTTTGTCATCTTGTATAAATCATTCGCAGATGAACATTTGTAATTATTTTTGGGACGTTACAATATAAAAAAGAGAAATAATCCATCCCTTCATTTCATCACCCCCTAATTGCACCTCTAATGAGGTGGCAAACAATTGCACCCCTAAACCCTAAAAAAGAGAGTTGATTGGTTGATATTGTTTGTCACCTCATTAGAGATGCAATAGAGAGTGATAAAATGGGAATGTAGCAAAACTCTATAATTTTTTTTATTATTCTTATCCTTCTAAAAAAATATTACTATGGATATTAAACTAAAAATTCTTAAGAAACAAAATTATCTTGAACCTTTTCTACTACCCAAACTAAATAGAGATTGTATTGCTAATTGTCACTATTATAAAACTTAAATGGGTTAATTACATTTTACCTCCTTGTAATTTGGTCTAAAAACATAAATTGGAAAGAACATAAATTGCTAGTGATGTAGCCAAAGGAACAATGGGTGGATGGTTTCAATTATTATATATATATATATATATTTATTTAAGAGTATATGTATGCATCTGTGGTTTTAATTTGGCAAAACCTTTTGATTATAATATACAATATGGCTTGAATTTTGTTTTGAGTTTCGGACAATGGACAAGATTTTTCCCTAATGCAGCTTTTGCTTAAGTTCTATTTCAAGAAAAAGAGAGAGAAAAAAAAAATCAATGGGCGTCTACTTGGGAAAAATTCTTTTTGAATTGATTCTTTTAGCTAAAAAAAAGAGGTGTTGGCCCTGAGGTAGCAGGTGAAGAAACCAGAAAGGACAAAAGAAGGAAAGAAAGTGAAAAATCTGGTTTTTAAGTTATAATGGCATATAAAAGAAAATTTGAGGAAAAAATAAGGATAATATAGACATTTTATAAATATGGTCAACAGAGTTTTTTTTTGGATGAATAAGTCATAAATAAAAGACAAGAGGATACACAAATATAAGGGGCATGCCCTAGGCCCTAACAGAACCTATACAAAACTGCTAGACACAGCAAGAACAAAGCAAAGCAGCCCACCTGTTCAGGACTACCAACACATACATACTGTATGATGAAACAAAGAAAAAAGACTAGACTATGTTCAAGAACCTCATACAGACTGTATGATGAAACAAGAACACATATAACGATTGCAACCACCCAAAACAAAGAAAACACAATACAAGAGCAATCCATAGCACAGCCCGTAGGGGTAGCCCATAAAAGGACCTATCTAGGCATAAACTAGGTTGTCAATAACTCCTGCCCAATATAAGAAATGAACCAAGAACACCTCAATTAGACAAGGATGTATTACCATATACAGTTGTTTCCAAATCACAAACACCAACATAGATAACATAAATGCTCACTTCACTCAACCCTCTATTTAGAAGCTCACAACACTCGGTAAGAAAGGACAATCACACAATATATAAGCTCCCATCACTCAACCCACACACCATGGTTGCAACATATACCTTCATTTCCTCCTGTACCTGCAAAATAGATAAAGTATGGCTATATATGGAGTATGTTAGAAATAGACTGTATGGGCAGTGACTGGTTGGTATTATAGATGTGCTCACATCCCTCAACCCACATTTGTTGTACTTGATCTTCATTCCAGCAAACACTAAGCTACAGAAGAAATAAACATTAGAAAACACACACTCTTGCTCACTTTCACTCAACCCACATTTACTGAACTCCCATTATCCCTCATTCTTCCAGTGCCGCCTCCCAGAGTTAGTATTCACATTTTACTCCAAATCTCAAATCTCAAGGGGATTAAGTATATAGTTCTAAATTAAAAGGAGGTAATGTGTTTTTGAACCAAATTATAGGAGGTAAATTGTAATTAACCCAACCTATAAATGAGTCTGGATCCTCTGCCGTTGTTCCCTGCAATGATCCCTGCCGTGGGCCAAAACGGGCGTCGTTTTGGACAATTTTTTTTTTCACCATGTTTTCTTCTTTTTTCCCCTTCTAAGCTCTCAAACGTTTCAGAGCAGGGCACCTATGAACGACCAAACAAAGAGATGAAGAGGAGAGTGACAGCGCTGGCAAGACGACGGCACCGACGAGGATCGAACTCGCATAACCCAGCCAAACGAAAGATCAAAACGATCCTCATATTTGGGATGTGAATTTCTAGATCTGAATGTGTTGATTTTGAAATGTTTCACCGTTGTTGCCTTCTGAATATTGTTTATTTGCTTGTTTTGACATATGGGTTCTTGTTATGTTGCCATTTTATGTTCAATTGATTTATTCTTAGCACTGTTTGGTTGTATTGTGATGTTTGGGTTATGAACTTTTAGATCTGAAAGGTGCATTTGGTGTGTTAGAGAATGGGAAAAGTTTGGCCATCCATAGTAAGCCACGGTGTTCAATTGTTGCTCGTCGTTGTCGTTGGCACGGCGATACGAGGCATGATTGGTTCAATAGTAAGCCACGGAGTTCAAGAGAGTACTTCCCATCAGGTGCATTTTTAACCAGACCAAAATCTGCAACCTTGGCTCTCATGTTATCCCCAATAAGTATATTAGAGGGTTTTAAATTTCTTTGAATGAAATTTTGTTGTGCTAAGCTGTGAAGATACTCCACCCCTCTGGCCACATCCAATGCCATTGTCACCCTCTGCTTCCAAGCAAGAGGAGAGTACCCAAGTTTACCCCACTCAAACAAATGCTGAGCCAAAGTCCCTGGTGGCATGTACTCATACACCACTTGCTGCCGCCATTGCCTCGCCTGGCGTCACCTTGCCTCGCCGTTCTATCGTTGTCGCATCATCATCTTCCCTCTTTGTCTCTCTGGTTTGAGAGGCGAGTGAAAAGAAGAGGGGAGGAAAGTTTAAAAAAATAAAAATAAGTCCAAATCCATGCTGTTTTGACACACGGCAGGGATCATTGCAGAGAACAACTGTAGAGGATCCGGACTCCTTATAAAGTGGTGGTCTGAATATCTTTCTCATATTTATATAACAGGTCCTATTACGTTGAAAATGGTTCTTCCCAGTAATTTCGAGGGAGTGGGGAACGGCCAAATTCCATTGTAAGCAGGCAGAAATAATTTCAAATGAGTGGAAAAAATGAAACGTGAAATTGTTACATTGCACACCCTGTTGCCAAGTCTTTTTCAAGGAGAGAGAAATTGTCCTCGTAAGTAATTAAGAAACGCTCAGGTTTCTCACCAAGGTGAAATCCAACTGAAATATGTTGTTGGATTTTTGTGGAATATCACGGATTTCACATCGATAAGTTGAATTATTTAATGTGTAAGATTTATTGAATATTTTATTTTATTTTTTAAATTATGTTAATCAAATATCAATATTCACTTGATCAGTTCAAATTTGTGCCAACGGTAAGTACAAAATTAAAAATAAATTGTTGACAAAAATGTGATCTGATCAAGTGGCTTTGATATCCGATCAACATGATTTTTTACAAGAATGAAATAGTCGACAAACTTTATAAATTGAACGATTTTGATCATCAAAATAGACCCAAAATGGGCCGAATTGAACTATCCAGTTGATTATTTCAATTAGAAAAAGTCCAATCCCATTAAGAAAATATATTTATTTAATTTTGAATTTTCAAATTGATAATTCCAATTGGAGAGAGTCCAGTCCCATTAAGAAAATACATTTATATTAATTTAGAATTTTCAAATATAGTTTATTTTTTGTGTTTTATTATTTTTAGTGAATTTTTTTATTATATTTTTTATATTTTAGTCAAATATCTTACTTTTCAAGTAATATCTAAACAGTAAAAAAATTTAAAAAATTTACTAAAATTCAAAGAATATGAAATGCAAAAATTATATTTAAAAATTAAAAGCCAAACAAAAGGTTAGTTTCTTATGCTTGTTTTTTTTTTGTTTTTTTTTATCATAAGTTTCCTATGCTTGTTTGCTAAGTCATTTTTTTTTATCAGCAAAATAAAAATTTCATTAAAAACATGAAAATAAAAATATAAGAAAATATAATATATCGAGAGAGATTCAAATAGTACGGGGAAATTACCAATATGCCCTATTTTCCCCAATAAATAATAATTCAGTCCTATTAACACTAGGTAGACAGAATAAGACTGAATGATGTGTCAGGAGGACTTAAAGGGAAACTTCAACTCTAAGGTCCCGTTTGTTTTGGGGTTAAATAGATGTGAGGGGATTAGGATGGGGTAGGGTTATTTAGTGTTGTGTTTATTTGTAAAGTTGGGGAGGGGATTAAGATAGAGGAGATGATATAGATGGAGGTTGGAAGGGGGATTGAGATTGAAGAGGTGGAGATAGTATTAGAAAAATAGTAAGGGGATTAGAAATTTTTTTATTTTTTATGATTGGGAATTTTTTTTAAATATTAATGTTTAATTATTTATATTTTTTTATTTGTTTTATTATTTTATATAAAAATAATTTAACAATTCCTACACTAACAACTATCATCAAGACAAACACAATTTTACTTAATCCCCTCACTAACAATTCCCTTAATCTCCTTACTATAAATCCCTTCCATTCTACCTCTGAAAACAAACAGGCCTAACAGACACTGTAGTAACCATAAGCACACTCCTCAAATGCCAAGGCACAACCCCACTTTTGCCAAGTCTTGTTCTCCACTTTAACCCTTTATATGTGTCAAAGGTTAAAAGACAAAAGAAAAGAAGATTACAGACTTGGAAAAACTCCATTTGATTTAGTTTTTGAAAAAGAATTATGAGTTTAAAATTATATTTTAAAAGATAAGTTATTGAAAATAATTTTAAAAAATAAAAATTTGTTTGGTTATGAGTTTTGAAAATAATTTTGAAATGATTGGTATTTTTTTTTTTTTGTAATTGAATGGATGGGTGTGAGAGAAAATTTGATTGATTAATGTGCAAAATGTGAGAGAATGGAAGAGAAAAGAGGAGAGATAAAAATAGATTGATTAATTTATTAATAAATAAATAAATAAGCTGGCGTCACCTTGCTTTTGCCACATGGAGAGTTGCTCTGTTTTTCTATCTTTGGGATGGAAAAAAACAGTAGAAAAATTGCAAAAGACAAATTCCATTTACTAGCACTTCCCTTTGCACTTAAATAGTAATAATAATTTATCCACACTAGTTAAAGCAGTACATGAAAACAACTACTGCCCCTCAAAAGACACATTCAATAGTCATGAGGACCAAACCATCATTCAAGAATCACTCAAAACTCATAACTAAAATCAAATATATGTACTGTAATAGATCAAAAGTCACATAGCAGTTATCTGAACAGACTCCTCACAATCACCACCAAAAATATCAAAAACCAATTGCCCCCACATGTTAGTAACCATGTTCCCCCCTTCTAGTCATCAACATCAAAAATCTAAAACACCTATTGGTGTCCCACCCAATGTGTGGAAAAAGAGGTCCTTGAAAACTACTGATGAAGACAGATTCATCTACCCACACGTGCACACACCAATCCAAAGTCCAACCAAAACATCACAATCATATTCATTTCAATCCACCAATAATGCTACGATGACCACATTGTCATATTGCATTTTGTTTGTCTATTAGGTGATGTATCGACACTGTATTAGTAATAGAAACGAGTTATGAGACTCATTAAACCAATTGCAATGATGTGTGATGATATATGACACGATAAACATGGGTGGTGGTGGCGAGTGGGTGGCAGGTGGGTGGCGGCTGGTGGGTGGTGGTGGCAGAAGACGGTAGTGGAAAATGGTGACGAGTGGTGGCTAGTGTTGGGTGGTAAAAAAAAAAAAGCCCAAAACTCAAAACATAAACTCATTTTTTGAGTTTACATTTTTTTTGTCAAATTTATAAACTGGGACCATTGCTTTATAAATCAAAAATTTACCAAACAAATTTTTATTTGAGTTTTTAAAATTTTTATAAATATAAACTGAAAATGTAAGTGTTACGAAACAGCACCTAATTATTAGATTAATACTTATGGGAGTTAACTCTCACATTTACAACGTATCAAATGTTTGCCTTATAATTCAAATTTTCATAGAGAGAGTTGAATCTATGATCTCTCCCTTAAGACTAAAATAAAATTAATAATTTTGTTGTTAAAATGTAGGGGTGCAACTCAGGTGATTCGAACGGGTTGAGAGGTTATTCAAGTCCAACTTAAATTGTGCTAAGACTTATATATAATTCAGGTTTCGAGTTACTCGGGTTATTTGATATATTTGTCAAAACCCGCTCAAATTTATTTCAACCCAAGCACATATCGAATTAAAAAATATTTTGTTCAAATCTTAAAAAAATTCGGATTGGGTTTGGGTTTCTTGGGTGCACCCACATTGCACTGCTCTTAAAGTGGCATGAACATAAATTATTACTTTTCATTATATCCTAACTTCAAAACTCAATAACTATATTTTCTTCTTTTAAGTATATTTTTTTAGGAAAAATATGGCGAAAAATCCATGTGTAGAAGTCATTTTGGCACGGGTGATGACACATCCGCCCCCCCTCCCTATTCTTATCATCCCTAATTGCGTCTCTAATGATATGGCGCAATGATGTGACGATGACGTGAAATAAAATAATATTTTTTTATATATTACTTGGATTTTATTATTGTTGTTGTTGTTGTGATTGTTGTTTATTTTCACAATCACAAAGATAATATTTGTACCTAAAGAAATTAAATACTGATTATTTAGAAATTACCTTAAGATTTTACTTTTCCATATCCATTTTGCTTCCACTACAAGAAAATACATTTTTGGCGATAATTTTTGGCTACCAAAAACAATTTAGTCGCCAAAAGTTACGAAATTGACTACCAAAAATAATATTAGTCGGCAAAAGTCAACTTTTTAGTTACTAATTTTTTTTAGTAGGGGAATGTTGATTATTGGCGACTAAAAAAAATTTAGTAGCTAAAAATATTACAATTGGCGACTAAAAGAAATTTTAGTAGCCGTAGAGGTACCTTTAGCTACTAAATTGTTCGGTAGCCGAATGCAAATAAAAAATTTATTTTTGATCTTTGGCGATCAAAATTTTGGTCGCCAAAAATATATTTTCAGCGACAAAATTCCTTGTTAGTCACTGTAGACCTACTTTTGACTACTAAATTGTTTGGTAGCCGAATGAAAATAAAAAAATTAACAAAATAGTTATTTTATTTTATTAACAACAATACCATTAGTCTCCACTTGAAAATTTGACTAAACAAAATAGTTATTTTTATTTTTATTTTTATTTTTAGGTTGTACACCCACCATCCAAAATTATTAATATCTTATTTTTTTTTTATCTCAAAATATTAATTTAAAAAAAATTAATTATTAAAATAATATGAATTTCTTATTTTGTCCTTTTTTTTAAATCCATTAATAATACAAAAAGTACAATTATGACAATTAATATTTCTAAAAAAATATACTATCAAAAGGTAATTTTGAAAAATTAATATTTTTAAAATGTAATAATTGTATTATAAAAAGAAATTAAATTCTGAAAATAGACTATTATTTTTAGATGGAAGAAGTAGACAGCTTTCATTTGATGGTTGAACACATCTTTTAATAATTGGGCCCTCACGCGAAAGGTATGCTAAAATGGGCAACTTGTTATTGGCTGTTTGTCGATAGTTTTACATTGCAAAAATTTAAAGGCATAGTTACAGGACAGTCTGATGAATTTAATTTTTAATAATAAATTTATTATTTTTAA